TTAATCATTTACGTCGCGGTACGCGAGTGCCGTTTGTGTCGCGCGTGTTCGAGTATTATCGAAGTCGACGCGCGGACGCAACATTTTGGGGGCTCGTCCGGGATACGACGGAGTGGACGATTTTCTGGAGACGAGTTTCTGGAGAATTGTGTGTTTCTTTTCGTCTATAAAAAATGGAACACGAAAATTCGCCGACGGCAGGGGTTTCGACGAGAAACAGGAGTCGATTGACTTCAACGGCGGCTACGACATCGGGACCATCATTGGAAGCGATTACACTTAAAGTGTCCGTTTTTAAAGAAAGGGGGAAACTGAATTTTGTCGAGCTGTTTGGGGCAGGTTCGACGCGAGACCGTGAAGCCCCAATAGAATTACAGAGTTATTGTTGTAATTATAAAAATGTTAGTAATAATACTGGCACTAATAATAAGAAATTATTTAATTTTAAAGGATTTATCGATGAACAGTTATGTAATTTTAAAATTGATACGGGTTCGGATGTGTCTCTTATCAGGAGTAATTTTGTTAGAATGCCTAGGCGGCGGATTCCTCTTGATAATTCTTTTCATTTGAAATATCCCACAGGGGAAGAAGTTCCCGTAAAATTTAAGGTAATCGTGATAATTAGCTTGGGAAAATGTTCTGTAGAATTTCCGGTTTTTGTCGCTGATATAGCTGAGGATTGTTTATTGGGGAATGATTTTCTGTCCATTGTTAATTTGGAAAATATTTTTGAGCCAATCTTTGGCGATTCTAATGTGGGGGAAAAGGAAAAGTTTTTTTGCTCACGCATTGAAAATTGTGTAGATGAGGTTCCTCCATTTTTGAAAGAACTCTTTCAGAAGGAATCTCAAGATTTTTCAAGTAAACAGAAGGATATTTTTGCTCGATTTTTGGTAGATTTTCAGGATATATTTTCGGAGGAAATAGTAGCTGGAAATTGTGATGGGGTGGCGCATGAAATTAATGTGAATAATTCTAATCCAATTAAGCAGGCTCCCCGACGAATTCCGTTGCAAATGCGGGAAGAAGTCGATACAATTATTGAGGATATGAGGCGTCAAGGTGTAATTGAAGAATTGCAAAGTCCATGGGCGTCTCCTGCGGTTTTGGTAAAAAAGAAGGATGGGACGATTAGATTCTGTGTTGATTACAGAAAATCTGATGGAAAAGGTTTTGGAAAAATTATCCAAGATTTGTCTAGCCTATTTAGATGATGTAATTATCTTCGGTTTCAAGGAGATGTTGGATCATTTGAAGCAAGTCTTCTTGCGATTACGCTCTGCCAATTTGAAGTTGAATCCGAGGAAGTGTTCTTTTTTCAAAAGGGAAATTAAATATCTCGGTCATGTTGTTTCTGAGGGAGGAGTTACAACGGATCCTGAGAAAATTTCTACTGTTAGGAATTGGCCGGTGCTTCGGACCAAGAAGCAGGTGCGTCGTTTCTTGGATTTTTGTTCTTATTATAGAAAATTTGTGAAAGGATTTTCTTTAATAGCTAAGCCATTATTTTCTTTGACCGAGAATTTAGCAAAGTTTGTGTGGACGGAACAATGCGAATCAGCTTTCCAGAGGTTAAAGAAATGTTTAATGTCTTCTCCTATTCTATCTTTTCCCAGGAATGAAGGTCAATTTCTTCTGGATACTGACGCCTCAAACCATGGTATTGGTGCAGTGTTATCTCAAATTCAGGACGGCTCAGAAAAAGTTATTGCTTATTATAGTCGTGTCTTAGGTAAATCAGAAAGGAATTATTGTGTAACTCGGCGGGAGTTACTTGCTATTATAGATTCGTTAAAGTCATTTCACTATTTGTACGGACGTAAATTTGTGATTAGAACTGATCACATTTCTTTACGATGGTTGATGTCATTTAAGAATCTTGAAGGTCAAATGGCACGAGAGTCAACGCCTTGGAAGAAGAGGACAACGATCAACCCATTTAATTTGGAAGAGCCCTCATTGATTGCCGGGACGACAATTTTGAAGAGGAGGAGTAGTGTTGCGTCCCTGCGGGTCGTCTAAGGCGGTTATTCTTGAATCTGCTGTATTCGTCTCCGGGAGAACGTTGCTAAGCGTTGTTGTTAAACAACGGCGGACATCTTGGGAGAGATCGGCCATCTGGAGTCTCGCGACGGATGTCATTACTAGAATTATTACAAACTATTTAACAAACATTATAACATACCGCGAAAAATCAAATTAAAATTTTAGATACTACGATAACCTAAACAACCTAGAAAATATACTGTTATAGCCTAAAATGGCTATAACCAAATTATTATCATTTTAATTGTTAGTATTATGAATTATTAAATATTAATATATATTATTTAATACACGCCTTCCGACTATAACTCGGAACCGAGGAAGGAATATAGCGTTACGAGCGCGAAACGCTGACGTAACAAGCCACGTGCAGGGGGTACTTGATCACGAAGGTTTGAAGGACGACACTTCGCAAATGCAAGCAAAGAAGTTCGACTTTAAACTTCCTTAGCTTGCACCTTGGTCTTGCCTTCCGAAATGAGCGACATGACCATATATGGTCATGTCACTAAGCTATCCTCTCCGAAAACTAATCGAAGCGGAGGTAATAAAATCACCCACCGCTAACGAATGGCAGTTACAATAGTTAATTTATACAGGGCAGTCGAACTTGTTAAAAAAGCAGCCACGAGACGGATAATTGTAATTACTAAATAGTAAAAAGCGTGACAACTAATCTCGCGACGACAAATGTGAGGCACACGCACGCGGAGCAACTCTATACCGCAATAAGCCAAATAGTTGTAGAGCGAGAAAAAAAAGATTTAATGTTTATATCTTGAAATAAATGTTTTTATTATAGTAAAACTATAAGATCATTTTGATCGGCAGAAGTCCCTGACAGATCCTGAACTTTTAAGTTTTTTTTGGCCAACGATTCTTAAATTCTTCTGTGCCCCCTTGAGGCACAACAATACTAGACTATAATATTTCTAAATTATTAAATCATTATGTTCGAGATTATACCACCGGGGAAACAATAAACGAACATTTTACAATAATTAAAGCGATGTTATCTGACTAAATCCGAGACACGAAGGACATTATAGAATACGATTGCGAATTGCAATTTAACATATCTTTTTTAAAAGTAAATTAAATATTTAATCACTTACTTTTCTGCAAGAAGTACAGCAGAGATGATGCTTCTTTTCAAGTTAAATATTGCCGGTGTATTCCAATTAGTCACTGAATAGATATGACATTGTGCAGGCGTAATAACGACTAGATGACCAAAGCCAAATTCGAGGTGCACGACACGATCGGAGATTTCTAATACTTCATGAACTTCGTTGCCAACTTCTTTAACTTCAATCACTTTTCTCCTTATCAACATGGCTTCATAATTATCCCATTCCAATCTCCTATAAAATTTATTAACATTATTTTATATTATATAATTAAAAGACAAAGAATATAAGGTTCATATAATAAGAATTTGCGACAAATTATCATCTCTTTATGATATTAACAAGGAACACTAGCCAAGTGTTCTTTTCTAATTTTGATGAGCTTTGAATATGTTGTAGTTTAAATTACAATAAGAGATATATTCCTTTATTTATTCTCTAATTCTTATTTTTCAAGGTGCTTTACATTTCAGTTATCCTCGATCAATTTAAACATGTTCTCGCGATACGAGATTATCTTATAATAAACTTCGTGGTTTTATTAAAGTTCTAGAGATGGTAATAAAGATGTCCTGCTCCTAAATATTCCTACAACAATATAGTATATAAAATCTCGTGCAAAGATTGTAACTTCTTATGCTGGTAAAACTTGTAGACAAATAAAAAAGCGAATTTCTGAACATCGCAACCATATGCATAGAAATACCTCACAACTCTCAGTCATAACGGATCATGAATCTTAATCACAAATTTAATTGGGATAATGTGGCAATTTTGAACAGTGAATCCTCACTCGGTAAGAGAGTTGTGTCCAAAATGTTCTTCTTTAAGCGAAAGAAAATAGGCTAAACCTGCGGAGTGACACGGAATATGTTTATATCATGCATATGTGACAATATAGTGGAGAACTTGCCAAATATTAAAAAGCTTAAATCTATCTTATTTGTCTGTTCATCTTTCTCTTCTCTGTTTATTTTACGACTCGGCGTTTAGGAACAAATTTACTAACTTGTTATTGTTTTTCATACTAGCGAGAGAGAGACTAGTGACGATTGCGTGACTATTAGGATATCATATTTTATACATGTGTTCAAGATTGAAACGTTGAATTTAGTCAATAAATTTAAACGGTAAATTCAACCGACAAATTTGAACGGTAAGAGCCGAAATCAAAACACGAGCAAGAATAAACATCGTCGCGATCAGCCGATCAGTGCGTGATCGAGTGATCATAACAAAGAAAAACTGTGACAAACACCTAGATTTTCGAACGTTCGATGCCGAAAGTATCCTATTATGGAAATCGGTCGATCGCAAGTCTTACCGGGCGTTAGTCAGTCTGCCGCTGACGACGATTCGAGCTGGTTGATAGCAATCAATCATTATTTCTTGGGTAGCATTATCTTGTGTCGTATTCTTGCTCGTGTCGTGTCGCGCTACTCATTGTCAAATTCGCGATCTATTCAATTTCAAACCGAAGTGTCTCGCTCACGATCGCATCATATTATCATGGCAATCAGTTGTTTATGGTTAAATCGTTTAAGCGTTTCGTTTGTTAGTGAAGATTGTTAAATTGTAAGTGGGGAGTTCGAGCCGATCGTTCACCGCATCGCGTATGTCTCGCGCTAAAAACCATCCGGCGTCCGCGCGCAAGATTTCCGTTCTCGCGAGGGCTTCTAGCAAGAAGCCCTTCAAGATTTCCGAAACGTGGAGAAGGGCAGGTCATCGAAGGACATTCAGAAGATTTCCGATTTTATTTTAGTCGCGGGACACGTGTCGAGGCTCGCTCCCGGTGTTTTCTAATAAACGTTCTTAAAACTACGCTCACGTGAGTAATTTTTCAACTCCTATTCCTCCAGCGAATCTATGGATTCGCGCTACACATTGCTTCTCGCTCAACTCAGAGCGTATCTGAAAGATTCGAGCGATCTCGTCGAGGTCGACTCCCGAACAACATGTTTTCTGCGAATTTTGGTGAGTTACTTTCCCATCTATTTGTCTCATATTACTTTCGGATTTTTTAAAACACATTTTTATATTACTGCTTTTATTCAAGAGATGTATTTGGATCCTAAGAAAAATTACATTGGTATCCCACATATGGCACCGTACGTTACTCTTTCATTTTGGCGGTACCTCACAACGATGGGTATTGTTGAGAAGATGTGCTCACTGGATTTCCCGAGGGGCTATGCACTAGTGAGTGCAATGAACAAGTGATTTCAGATTGAAGTTTGTATGTCAAGACTCTGTTCGTGAGTCAAGACTCATCGCTGAGCGGCTACGGGCGCCAATTTTCAATCGTTATGATTTGGACCGCTCTGGAGACGTACTGGTGATTTCGTCTCTCCGTGACAATCGGCACTGCATCCATTGAGCGAGATTCCAACATCGCTCTGGAGTCGTATGTACTGTGTTAGAGTGGCGTAAGGTGCGAGGTCTGAATAGCTCAGTGGTAAGAGCAGTTGCCCGGAAAGCGAAAGACTCGGGTTCGATTCCCGATTCAGCCACTTGTACCTCGCATATTTTTTCAGACCCGCAAATGTTGTTTTCTAACAATTATTTGTCGGGCTGAGGAAGTGTGTAAACGCCCTACACAGACACGACAGTGCCGCTGCCACGGAAGAGATGGATGCTTGGTTCGTGCCTCCTCCCGCCTTAAATCCCCCCCTCGCTTCACTCGCCTCAATCGACGAAGTCGATTTCAAATGATTTTATCGATTTCATGAATGCTTCAAGCAATTAGAAAACCATGTGATTTAATGTGATTTCATACGATCCGATCAGTGATTTCTGAAATCATTGAAAACACGTCGAGTGAAATCATTCATTTTCGATCGCTTAAATATCAGATTGGAGTAAATCAGGATCAAGTAAAGTCTAAATAAAAAGATCCGAGTTTTAAAATAAATTTTTATTTGTTGATAAAGATTTTTATCAATACGTAGACCACTTTCAGATATATCCGGCAAAGAAATGGTTATATGGTATTGTTTAATATTAATATAACCATGTACATCCATCGGTACAGACACTAAAAGTGATGAGTTTGGTGCAGTTTCATACCAATTACACAGAATCCTTATTTCTTTGGTATTATCTTTTACTCGCGCGTAATGACTCGAATATTCTTGTACTTTTTTAGATTTACCCTCTAGATACGCGAAATTAAGAATTAATCCTAAAAAACATTTTGTGCTATTATATTTTTTGAATAGACACCAGTCACCAATGTGAATCTCGTCATTTATTTTTTTTAAACATCTAGTGTCTTGTTTAATACCTTTCTTCATGTATTTATTCAATTCCGTCTCTCTAACGCGTTGCAATCGGTCACTGCTCAAATTCGACGAGTTGCGATCAAGAAACCAACAGATAGAAGATTTTCGAACTACAAATTCGTTGTTAAATTTATCTTTTACAACGACGAAGAGACTCTCAGGGCTAAGTTCTATGTTACATTTATTATAATTTTTTATCAGTACACTACCTTCGAAAGAACGGATAGTCCTGTAACAGTTCTACCTGAGGTTCTAGCTCATTTTCGTTCTCGATCATTTCCGTTCTCGATCATTGGTTGTGCGATTATCATGTATGCTAAACTAGAAATAATACCCGTTTTAAAGCTTTCTTCAATCTTGCCAGCGGACGTTGCCAGATATGTACGAGCTACAGGCATTCCATCGTTGTTCAATGGTAACACAAAACCAATAAGTTTGTTCCAAAGAGGATTAGATAGAGCGGAAGGTAAGCGTATACAGCGATGAATGGCATCTACCGAGTCTGATGCCCAATTACTTAGCCTCTTCTTGTTCAAATTGGATCGCAACTATTAAAATTTATTATGTAACACATTTCACTTTGATCAAAAAGTGACATTGATTGCATGAAATGAGTGCTTCCATCAATACGATTTCTATATCGCGTAATATCGGGAATGGGAGATATACAGTTAGGACATCAGACTCACGAGAGGGCACTGAAAACTGTATACGCAAAAATACATTACGCTTTTATGGGAACCTTCCACTCTATCTAATTCTATTTGGTTGGTTCCATCGGCTATCATATTGCACTCGATCGGTGATACGTGTCACATCTTCACATATCCATACAGTCAGGGATAAATTTCGTGTGACTAAAAATTCTTTTAAGTCTTTCAACATGTTCCTTCATATATATCACAGACAGAATTACCTATCACATTGCTTCGTTTATCGATTTATGTTCCATGAATAATTTTAGAATATTTCTCACTTGTTTATTTTCTCGAATTAGTCTTCGTAGCTTATCACACATCGGAAAAAACGAGTGCGTGGTTGATTCGGTCCGATCGATGAGTGCATTTTTTTCATCCGCTGCAATGCCCTAGTATTCGCATGATGCGATGGACGATTTCAAACGGTTTTCGTTGATGCAGTTTTCTTGTCGAGAATGTCCGTTTGATAACGATCCCGACTTAATATTCCCCCATTTTGAGTTCCCATTCGATTTGCGTTATTGCAATTTTAGACTCCGTCATGTCAATTGATGTTGAAGGCATGGTTGGAGGTTCTGAGACCACTGACTCGTAGCATGATACTTTAAGACCCAACTGAGTGACATCGTTTAAAACAAGATCACAATGAAAAATCATTCATTTACGAAAATCGAATACATTTCAAGCTCGTTAAAAAAAAATATTGCGTATTTGACCGCTCAATTTACCGAATAGAGGCAATTGTAAAATTTTGTGATCATCCGAAGCGACGCGACAGTGCTTTCCATTCTGTCTTTCCAGAATTACTTCGTTTTCTTGGTCAGATCCTCTCTCGTTTTTTCGTTTGATTTCTTGTGAATTGTGCAGTATGTTCGAGTTAGTTTTTTCAAATATATTATCAAATGGCCTACTTGACGATTTTCGATCTTCGCCAACTTTGCAGACGATTGGAGTTTTTGAAGAATAGACATTGATTTTCGTTTTTGAAGGTTTTTTCGTACAATCTTATCGTAACTGTGAGTTTGCAAATGTCGTCGGTAATTTGATACGACCCATTTTGCTCCCTTATCTCTGATATGACTGCACTTCGTTATTGTGATGAAATTAGAGCATACCACGCATTGAATTTTGGCAGTATACGTATACGATTGTGGCAAATCTTCATCCTGGTAAACTTCGACGACGGATACTGCAATATAAAGATTCGATTCTGAACTGTTCGTATTTTTTGGATCGCTATTTTCTAAATTCTCTT